CCTCCCACGACTAACCTGACCCTAACTTTATTTCTTGATGTTGGGTTTTCGTTTCAATGCATTTTGCAGCTTTATGCTAAAACAAACGATACTTTAAATACAATGCCACTTTAAATTGTTGTATGAGCGATAAGCGTATAATTTTATAATAATTCTATTACCTATAAAAAGCATATTTTAATAACTGTTTATATTTTGCACTTCTTTTGTTTGTTTGCATTAAGCACAAAGCTATAAAATGGGCTATCTATGCCGTGCCCATTACGAGTATCGAAGTCAAGTGTTTTAGCAGGATTTTCGACATGCCACCTTGCACTTCAAGTATATTAATTTCATAGTCTATAATGAAATGTGTAAGTGTATACCCCACTTGTTAGACTCGTACAACAATATACACGTCTATATTGACATAAGAAATAGGTGTGGAAAGTCATTAAAAGATTATTAAAATAATTAAAACAACGTGCTAAAAAAGTTAATTACTTTTCAGCTTAATAAGCTTTTTAAACACCGAACCAGTCTTTTTTAATATATATACAGAAAAGTAACAAGAACTGGCTAAAGCCGAGGCATGCGTCATCTTCAGAAGCAAACCCTCCATTCGGACAACAGTAGGTCGAACATTCGAACAAGAACTACAGAAGTGTCTGGTAACCATAACAACTTCTTTAATCGTTAATCAACTTTGACAGATTCTCTGGGTTACACCCGAGTCCTCTGGCGGCAAGGCAAGCGGCGGTTGATGCTGAATTAAAGACTGCGTTATTCTAATAGACAGGTTTAAAAGGTAGACAAGTCACGAGCTACTTCTCAAACATACCCGAATAATAGAGTAGGGCACAGAAAAAAAAAGAAAGAAACTTAACTAGACTACAAAAATGGTTTTCATGTTGTATACATACATGTAAACATGTACAGATAAATACACATGTATAATGTTTACATGTACATAACTTTGATGCTCTTGAATGTTTCATCATGATTTATTTTGGATATACGTTAGTTCGTAAAAGTACGCTTCGAAAAAAATGAAACTCACATTAGTATTCTTTTTAACGATTTATTTAATGAAGTTTTCTTTTTTTTTGTATCAAATTCCAATGTTTTCAATTCGAGTTTCAGCATTTTTTTCTGTTATTATCATGTGTTTCAAATCTGTTCTGGTTGTACACATGTTCACTACGTCAGCAGTGATGTCATACACTGTAGTGTAATGAAAA